ATCAAACCGGCTTGCAGTTTCTAACCCAGATGAACGTTTATAGACGAAAAATTGTTCACGTTTGATATCACTCGCGCTTCATTCATGGAGCGCAATACTGGGTTCCAAGGAAAAGTAGCAACGAGACTTGAGGATATCACGCACAATTCGGAGCAAATTCAGTTCCGGTATGTTGATTCCGTGTACCTCTGCGACGTAATATTCATGCCCCTTTAGGAAAAACTTTTTGAGGCAATATGTCGCCAAAGTGTTTACAGCGGACTACAGCAATCCAAAAACGTTTGAATATTTTGACAAAGTCGGGATCATGCACACAGGCCAGGCTGGATTCAAACACAGAGAAAAAAGCTCTCGCCTGCACGTCGATTGCAAGTGATCTTACCTAGAGTTCCTATATGTAACTGACAGACTGCTTTTAGATATTCACTGCGCAATCGTAAGTGTTTAGTACCTATGATATGGACCCTGGCCTGAACAACCCCGTTCTCGGTAGCTTCTTGGATATGTGCAAAGCATGCTTACCTCTGCAGTAATGGCGCAGAACTTGACTGAGGAGACTAAAACGGCTGTCTTGTTGGCTATCAATAAGGTCATGTGGATCCAAAACGACCTATTTGCGAGGCATTACATTCCAAAGTCGCATGGAATAAAGAAAGTGCCCCAGGAAAACGTAATGCAAGGGCTTGTTCTCGTGTTGGCCCTTGCACTAGTTTGGGTTTTGTATTCCAAGGCTTGAAGTGGTTGAGTGTACGCGAGCATTCTGTACTTTATCTGCTCTTTTACTTTCGTGTATCAATATCAGTTATTTGACAGCGAGGAATTGACCAATGCACTACCACCAATAATTGTCTGGCGTAGATGAGACTAGCCTTGGTTCGTTATTCTCAATGAACGCGGGGTTAGTACGCAATTTATTTGAACACTTGGACCCTACCCTACGCCATAGCTGCTCGCTCAAAAAGCTCGACTTTTCGTATTCAACCCAACCCAACGATAAGTAATCGAAACCCAAAGGCCAGGCGGTACTTCATCAATCGCGGGTATTGACTGATCCTCCTGGACCCCCTTCTACCACTCAGTCCATGCTTTGAGCTTTGAGCTCGAGCATTAACCTCTAGCCATTTTTACACTCTATCCTCATCCCACATTCTTACTCTTCAACGATTCTCTGGTGCGCATATATCCAAATATCTCGCTCGCAGCTGCACATCGATAGTAAAGAAGGATGACGGCCCCTATGTCACGGCGCATGACGTTCGCTTCGACTCCGGTGCCCATACGCAACAATTACGCGGATGACATATTCGCCAAGATATTGACCTCATCCCAACAAGACTTGGCTTCTAGCGAGACTATTTCAGACTTTAGGAGGCACAAACAAATCGAACTCCAGAAAATGAGCCTTTACAGCGGCTCCTACAATTTGAAGCAATGCAACACGTTGAGCCCAGAGTAATAGACTACCTGGCGGAGTTTATCGAGTTTGGCTCCAAGGATGCGCCGCACCTCCAATCGTAAAAGGGCCTATTGGCAGGGCCACCGATGTTGTGTGTGAATCGCGATCCGTATACGTGGGCCCCGCTTTGGTTCCGTACCACCGGCAGATGAGAAATTATTCTCGTTTGATATCACTCGTGCGTTGCGTATGGAGCACAACACTGGGCTCCAAGGAAAGCTGTTCGAGCGGCTCCAAGACGTCACCAATCATCCGGAGCAGATCAAGTTCCGGTAGGTTGTTGATTTTTGAAGAAGCAAGTACTCACGCCATACTCTAGTAAGGAATTTGTTCGGGCATGGGTTCGCCCAATTGTTTACGGAAGACTGTACTGACCCAAAGACCTTTGAACATTTCAACAATGTGGGAGTGATCCATACAGGACAAGCCAGATTCAAACACAGAGAGGAAATCAAGGCTACACGTTGATTGTATGTGTTCAGTCTGGTGAAGCTTTGTGCTCTAACTCCTCTTTGCATTCACACGCGGGATTGCGCAATCTCGAGTCATTGAACTGTATCCCTTTTCCACTCGGCTGACTCTGTGATAGCTCCCTGGTTACATGCAACGTATCCTCACCTCAGCGGTAATGACTCAAAATATCCTCGAAAAAACTAGAACTGCAGTTTTGGTTGTGATAAACAAGGTTATCTAGATCCCAGAACGACTTATTTGCGCGTCACTATATATAAAGATTGAATACCATGCGCAAGTTGTCGAAAGAAAACATGAAACAGGTCCTGGCCGTAATCTTGCCTGTCGCGATAGTGTGGATACTGTATTCGAAAGTATAAACTACATCGCACGCGCGGCAAGCGTCTCGATTCTCGAGCCGCAACAACGGCATGTGTCTCACCGGTGGGACAATATAAACAAGCAAGGATAGCCAAGCTGGTTAGCAAGAATGTCCCAAGAGCACCCTTTGGTAAGCTTTGATGCTGACACATCAGATGCTCATCGAAGCCTCGAGTGCTAGGACCTCACATCGAGCTCTCCTCGGGTTGCCCTTTTGTCCACTTCGAGCGCTCATAGTTCTTTCGCTCTTTTTGCTCGAACCTTCGCGATGTAGTCTGTCCCAACGTCCGTCCTGCTTACTAAAACGTCCACCGTGACCGAATTAGACGGATTGTACTAACGAACCTGGTCGTCGTGGACGTACCATAGCTTGCGGACACGGTGAGCGAGGCGCAGAGCACATAAGAAAGGCTCGAGAACTGGTGTATTGCTTCCTACTGCGTGAGGAGATGATCTCGCAGGTGGCCGGCTGTTGGCATAGATTCACTGCAAGTTGTTGGAGCGACGTAATATGCGCAGCTTTAAAAAGAAAGCTTTTGAATAGCGACATTAAAGCAGGATACCGCGGCTGTATAGTGTAGTGGTTTAGCACTCGGGATTTTGACTCCGTGCAACCTTCCCGCAACCCCGGTTCGAACCCGGGTACGGCCTTTTGTTTTGAGTGTCTTCCCAGGCAGTTTCTTTTTCCGGGTTCGCAGCTTGTCGTGAAACCTTAGCCACATGCTGTCCAAGGAATCACATATTTGTACGTGGGTTTCAAGAATGTCTCCACCTCAGTAACGTTCTCGTACGACTCCCAGCAGACTCGAAGGAGAGGCGCGATCAACACGACATCCAAGTACACGCAGTGAGTAAGAACCGCAGTATAGAAAACATGAAGAAAGGCTGTAAGTAGAGGGCTTTACACCATGTTGCATTTCAATAGACCGCAGTGGCGTTTGCTCGCCATTCGAGACTCGCAGGATGTTCTGTTGTTGGATGTGAACGAGTGCTTTATTCTTTCGGTCACATGTGATTGACCGACATCGGTCGCCCACATATCAATTGATGAAGGCCATACCGAAGATACGATTGTGGGGTGTCGGCGTAGGCTTTGGCTACCCAATTCCTGGGTAGCTGAGTTTACCATATTGGATAACTTAATAATCTGGCACTCCTTTCCGTCCATTTTTACATTGCTGTTTGATTATACTTCACTACAATTGATCCAAGATTTGCTGCTTCTTCAGGACTGGTAGTGGCTCCTTTCTTCGATTCTTACCTTCTCCCTAGGGCGATTAGTCAAGAGGGCGGCCCTGCGCTGATGGTCGCGTACGGTATGGGATCTTGAAGGCATATTGTACACGCCAAGACCAATTGCCATACTACCTGTATGCGGGGTTTGCTTGTATCCAAGTCTCGAACGTGCTGTAATTTCCGAGTGGCAAACAAGCCCCACGATGACACATTGGAATCCAACGTATTGTGGCGAAGGAGCCTTATGTTCTCTCCTCGGTTTTCCGGACAGCTGTTCTTTTGGAGTTCTTTTCTGCAGCTCATCATTCACATGTTCTCTTAGTGACTTCTCAATTTTTGCTCTCGCAGTCGCTACGTCTATAATGGTCGCTCCCTCTGTACGTAATCGCGTAAAAAGATGGGATAGTGCGTCCATCACTAGAGCCTGCGTCTATCGAATCCCTCCTGGGCTTGTCATCGAATTCGCATATCCCAACAAAACCTGGTCAAAGTTTTACAGTTGGTCATAGCTATTTGGCCTTAAATTGTCAAGGTTCCTCTATCGAAATGGTATGGGCTATGGGAGGAAGCACTGCAGCTAGGAAAGGAACGCGACGAGTCACAGCTTCAGGGGCCTGGTTAGATCCGTCTGCTAGGGCGACTCGCAAGAGCGTTTCTATATGTATTTTTTCTGTTCGCTCTAGTGGGTTGGTTCTTTAGAACATTCCGTCAAACTCGGAAGTATAGACGAGGCTCGAGATAATCACATCGAGAGGTGACAGAAGTCGAAGTTCTGGTGAATCACAAATGCGATTTTCAAACTTGTTGACCCTCATATGTCACGCGTACCAACTGTTCGTTCTAGACGGAAAGTCGGGCGAGGGTTGGGCGCTGAAATATTATGATCTACATAATGCTATTGGGTTACCACATGCAAAATCGCATCGCGAAAAAGCAGAATCACACTTATCTGTAGTTAATCATTGGCCTGAACCGGTGCGAGAATCATTAAAATATCACTCTTGATGTTAATAGTAGCGCATATACCGATCGAAATTCAGGAACGACTTCAAGTGTGCTATCTATGGACACTACAATCACCTGAACTCAATAGCGAAAGGGTAAATATCCGCTCTATTTAAATCAACAGGTTCATAGGCTAATCCATCACTTTTTCGAAGAGCCCGTACACGAGTTGTGTATAACTCATATCAGTTACGGGGACACAGCAACTACTTGGGAACTCGTGGCACGTGACCTACCCGCCAACGACTTCGCGTCTTTATCCAGCTTCCCGGAGCAATCTAGCATGAGGTAACGAGTATTTTGGTAGCATGTTGCAGTTTTGTTGGATCCTTGACGATAATAGGATAAATTTCCAAGAAAAACGGCATCAACAGGTCTGATTTGATGTTTTCTCGTACTAGAATCATTCGAAACGCATAAAATAACGCTCTGGGTTCGAAATAAGCAAGCCAAACAGCGAGAAAAAGAGTGGACAAGCCCAGACTCGAACTGGGGACCTCCTCAAGTTGTATTTTGCCCGATTTAAAGCTCGATTTTATGCAAATGAGGCGCGATAACCAGCTACACTACATGCCCATCGAGAAGAAACGGGTTCAAGCTATCAAATGCCCTGTCATTTGTGCATCACTATACTAATAAATGGCTCTAAAATTTTCATCTGGGGCGCGCATACAGTTAGTCGATTCATCTAAATAGCCGAGGCGCGTGGGAGCAATGGTGAATGAAAAATTTGCAACACGTGACTCAGACTGATTGTATGCGTTTGAGCTTCTTGAAAAACAGCTTCGTGACTGGTAAAGTAGTAATTCGTGACAATAAAAATATGTTCAAAAGTAGCATTCAAAAGTAGCAGAAGGATCCAAGAACCGAGCTGCAAATTGCGGAGATGTTGTGGGCTAAAGACGGGGTTTGATGTAGTCGACTCTCAACACAACTGTGTAATACCATATTTTAGAAGACACGTGAGACCAAACTTTAGGATTGTTTACTTCTACAGCTGTGTTGGTGGTGTGTTTCTTATATCTCCGCAGCTTGCAGTTTTTGAACTGAATTGCCCTAGTCTGCTCCAACTGATTGTGTCCCAAATAATTTAGTTCAGAGAGATGGCACCGCATCTTTTTCGCATACGACGCACGATGAAGGGTATAATACGTCGTAGATCTGAGCGGCGGTGTCCAAGTAGGCCATTCTTTACCTATGATTGATGCCTGGGCGTCCGCCACCCAGCCAGTGTTTTCCTACGATTTTACACAACATGCTGGCTCAGCATCATTATATTTCAAATTTATCTTAGAACAGCATGATAATCCCTGCATGGCATCGCCGTGCGGAGTAATCGCAACGACCCAGTTGCCCTATCGTTTATAATTTAACCTTATTCGGGTACAGCATACACGGGAAACTGTACATTCTAAGTTTATGATATCTATCTTTAATGATACTCATATGCACAAATGTCACATTGTGATGCGCGCATTCCAACTTGGCTTCCAATGTATGACCGATTTCCAGCCCGCAAAGACTCGATTGCGGTGACTTGCGCGGTTTCACTCCAGCGTACCACCTCGATCATATAATTTCAAATCGAATTATGGATATTTCTTCTGTATTCCACCCGAATCGAGGCCATCATCGTAGCTGAGAGCATTCGAGAGGGCGTGGTAATAGAGGAGCATGAATCATGGTGGGTACGTGATCTTATTTTGACAACAGAACTTTTTGATGAAATCATTTCCGGCACGTATATTGGATTTTGCCCAAACGATCCTATGGGTGAGATTGAATCGCGGAGGTCAGAACCGAGTTCAACGGCAAGTTAGGATCTAGTGCAACATTCGAGTCCAAGATGCTTGTGAGACTGGGAGCTCAGATCAATACTGCCGACCCTAATTCTGAAACCCAGTCAAAAGAACTAGTCGAGTACTTTCATGACTGGGGTTTAGGAAGCTAGTGGGAGTGGCTGAATGTGGCGCGTGAGAAGAATGCTAAGCGCCCATGACATGAGAACCTCGGTTCAACATACGCCCAGACCCGACCTCCACGGCATGCTTCACAACATCGCACCACTAAAAATGCCCTTAAGAAAACACTCACTCGGACATAACATACACACTCTCCTGGCGCGTGGCGGCAGCAAGAAGCAGAAACCTATTCCCCAGGCTGAAGATGGATCATAGCTCAGCTATCCCCCCGCATTCTGACCTCGGTTGAACCAGGGTTCCAGCAATGGGATCCTCGCCAAACAAACGTGCCCATCGGCATTGCGCCGCAAGGTCAAGGCGAAGACCGATTGAGCAGTTCGAACCCTTGTCTCAATCGTAGAGTTCGTTGTTCAAAAGTCTATTCATCGAAGTTTGGGCAACATCGGCTCTATGATGATACGTTGGGCCCGAAATTGCATTTACCGGCGTTTAGTCCGGGGTCGGACCACAGCCGGAACAATTAGATCCGGGCGCACGCTCTACTGTACTTTCCCGCGCATACGCTGGTGACCGCAATCGAGCCTAGTTGAGCCTGTATCTGGTCGCACGCCCCTGGAGAACTCCCACAGCAGCCATTATATAGAGCCTCGCTCTGCACCTGGCACTTCACACGACCTACGCCATGGCCAGCGTCGAACAGCCCGACCTCACCAAGGTTTCCATCCTCGGAAAGGACTCCATCCACTGCGGCTTCCATCTCACTCCGTACATTGTCCACACCGTTCTTTCTACTCTCCCCGCTTCGACCTATGTTCTAATCACCGACACCCGCGTCGCTGGCTTTGGCCATCTTGAAAAGTTTGAGTCTGCTTTTGCCGAAGCTTTTGCCGCCAAGCCCGAAAACACCACTCGATTCCTCACCCATGTTATTCCACCTGGCGAGACGAGCAAAAGCCGCGAGGGCAAGGCTGAGATCGAAGACTTTTTGCTCGACAATGCGTGCACTCGCGACACTGTCATCCTCGCACTTGGCGGGGGTGTGATTGGTGACCTTGTTGGATTCGTTGCTGCAACTTTGTAAGCACTAGCTACATGTCCCCTGTCCTTGTCTAACATGGCTATAGCATGCGTGGCGTGCGCTTTGTTCAAATTCCCACTACCCTCTTGGCCATGGTCGACTCTTCGGTTGGCGGCAAGACTGCGATCGATACCCCACACGGCAAGAACTTGATCGGTTCCTTCTGGCAACCGTCCTACGTCTTTATCGACGCTGCCTATCTCGAGACCCTCCCCCAGCGCGAGTTTGTCAATGGCATGGCTGAAGTTATCAAGGTGAGTCAAATCTTGGTGCTTTGTCTCGGCCGATAAGACTCACGTGATACTTTCAGACTGCGGCCATCTGGAACGAAGAAGAGTACTCGATGCTCGAATCCTCGGCGCCTGCCCTCTTCTCTGCCATCGCCACTTCCTCCTCCTCGACCAACGCCGGACGAACCCTCGCCACCCGCTCCGAATCCCAGGCCCTCCTCCTGCATGTTATCACCGAGAGCATCCACGTCAAGGCTCATATCGTCACCCTCGATGAGCGCGAGACTGGCTTGCGCAACCTCGTCAACTTTGGCCACACCATCGGCCATGCGATCGAGGCCGTTCTTACCCCGACCATTCTCCATGGCGAGTGTGTCGCTATTGGCATGATCCTTGAAGGAGAGGTCGCCCGCCAGCTCGGCGTGTTTAGCCAAGTCGGCGTTGGCCGTCTCACCCGCGCCCTCAAGGCCTACGGTCTCCCGGTGACCGTCAAGGACCCGCGCATTCAAGCTGTCCCGGCTTCGCGCCTGCTCACCATTGACCGTCTCCTCGATATCATGAAGATTGACAAAAAGAACTCGGGCCCCGAGAAGAAGATTGTGCTGCTCTCGCGCATCGGCAAGACGTACGAGGAGAAAGCGACCGGTGTCAAGGACGAGGTTATTCGCCGCGTCTTGGCCGAGGCTGTTCGTGTTATTCCAGGCATCCCCCGTAACACTCCCGTTCGCATGAGCACACCTGGTAGCAAGAGTATCTCCAACCGTGCGCTCGTCCTCGCCGCTCTCGGCAACGGTACCTGCCGTCTCCGTAACTTGCTCCACAGCGACGACACTCAGGTCATGATGAGTGCTCTTATTGAGCTCAAGGTGAGATCCAGACAATATGCCGCATACAGTCACTAACGGCGATCGTAGGGCGCCAAGTTTGCTTGGGAAGATGGTGGCGAGACCCTCGTTGTTACTGGCGGTGGAGGAGCCTTTACCATTCCCCCCGTCGGCAAGGAAATCTACCTCGGCAACGCCGGTACCGCTGCTCGCTTCCTCACCTCTGTCTGCACTCTTGTCGGGCCCGACCCATCCTCTGCGACCGCATCCGCAGCCTTTCCCGATGGCTACACCTTTATCACTGGCAATGCTCGCATGAAGCAACGTCCGTGTGGTCCACTTGTCGATGCTCTCCGTGCCAACGGTAGCAAGATCAACTATATCGAGTCCGAGGGATGCCTTCCGCTCCACATTGGTGCCGGCGGTCTCAAGGGTGGAACGATCCAGCTTGCGGCGAGCGTGTCGAGTCAGTACGTGTCGAGTATCTTGTTGTGCGCGCCATATGCCCGGGATCAGGATGTCGTGCTCGAGCTCGTTGGCGGCCAGGTTATCTCCCAGCCGTACATCGACATGACCTTGGCCATGATGAAGACATTCGGTGTTGAAGTCACTAGGCGCAAGGCCGCAGACGGCACCCTCCTCGACGTTTACGATATTCCCCGTGCGCGCTACACCAACCCTGAAAAATACGCCATCGAGTCTGACGCGAGCAGCGCAACCTATCCTCTCGCTGTTGCTGCCATGACTGGCACCACCTGCACGATCGAGAACATTGGTACCTCTTCGCTCCAGGGTGACGCCGGGTTCGCAGTCAATGTCCTCAAGCGCATGGGCTGCAAGGTCGAGCAAAGCGAAAACGAGACGACTGTCACTGGTCCGCCCATTGGCCAACTCAAGGCGATCGGGTTGGTGGACATGGAGACCATGACCGACGCATTCTTGACGGCCGTCGCCCTTGCTGCTGTCTGTGGAAACGGCAGTGCTGAAGGTCTTGAACCTGACGCGCCCAAGAACACGACGAGGATATTGGGTATCGCGAACCAGCGTGTCAAGGAGTGCAACCGTATCCGTGCGATGATCGATGAACTTGGTAGGTGTTTTTACCCACGCATATAACTCTACTAACAGCATACAGCCAAATTCGGTGTAAAGACCAAGGAACTCGACGACGGTCTCGAAGTCTACGGCCAACCAATTGAAACTCTGAACAAGAACGTTTCGGTTCATTGCTACGATGACCACCGCGTGGCGATGGCATTCTCTGTCTTGGCATGTGTTGTGCCCGGTACGATTCTGGAAGAGAAGCGCTGTGTCGAAAAGACATGGCCGAACTGGTGGGATGATCTTACGAACAAGGTACGTTCCGGATTCGGGGTGTTTCACAACGGGTCTAACGGCCGCATATAGATTGGCATCGACGTCGAGGGTATCGAACTCACGCACAATGGACCCGCTGTTGCTCAGTACGACCCCGAAGCGACGATCATTATTGTCGGCATGCGCGGCGCAGGCAAGACCCATA